GGCCAAAAAGGGTCGAATTGACTGAAATTTCAAAAATCTTCTTCTCAAGACCCAGATATGGTAGAATCAAAGACTCGTAATAGATGGAAGGGTCTTAAGGTGCTTCACCAAAAGTGTGAATTGCATGACCCTGGGGTCTCACGTTTCCCCCTGGGGAGGGGGTAAACTTTACTGTAGTTAATATAGGGAACATTTTGGACCAGCAGTTGTTTAATTTCCATCGGAATTAATTCAAACTTGGTTAGCATTATCTGTATTGGATAGGAGTTTGATGGTATGCACATATCAGCCCTGACTGACAACCCGGGGCTGATGGGTGCGGGCCAAAAAGGGTTGAATGGACTGAAATTTCAAAAATCTTCTTCTCAAGACCAAGATATGGTAGAATCAAACACTTTTCATAGATGTAAGGGTCTTAAGGTGCTTTACCAAAATTGTGAATTTCATGACCCTGGGGTCTCATGTTTTCCCCTGGGGAGGTGGTAAACTTTACTACAGTTTAATTGTGAATTATATGGTTCCCATTATATGGCGGGGCCAAAAAGGGTCAAATTGACTAAAATTTCAAAAATCTTCTTCTCAAGATCAAGATATGGGGTAGAATCAAAAACTCTTCATAGATGAAAGGGTTTTAAGATGCTTTACCATAATTCAGCTGACTGACAGAACCACTACTTGTACATAGTACATATACTACCCAGATCTTTCACACTAATTTGGCATTACATGTAGTTCAAGTTACCTTTGTTACAAAATGATTTCTTTTTCATTTGGCAACATCGATAACATCAGTTTTTGACATAACACAGGTGACCGCTAAGGCCCATGTGCCTCTTGTTTACTTATAAATTCAGACATCATCAGTGCGTGAATGAAAAAGTTTGGATTTTTTTTACATGTACAATTTTAAATTTTTACATATGTTAGGGTACACGCCAGCAGTCACCAATTGCCAAAAACATTAGGGTTTTTTTAATCCGTAAAAATGTGCCTGCATCAAGGTAAACATTGACCAACAAGCTGCATTATCCATGTGAATTCATAGCCCAATTTACTAGCTAGTGTTACGCAATTCTTAGGATCAACTATAATTGACCCTCCGAACAGTACGCCCGCGAGCACACAGTGGGTACACAAATGGCCAGCAGTGGGCAGGTGCCCTAACAACTAGCCAGGGGCATTGGGGACATAATGGAGAAAGCGAAGAAATTGTTATCCAATGCAAACTACATCATAACATCACACGCAGAAACAGGATTTGTAACAAATGTAATTTAAGAGATATAGAAGACGAGTTTCATTTTATTTTCATTTGTCCATTTTATAGCGATCTCAGGCACAGATTAATCAAACAATATTATTACAGAAAACCCTCGATTTTTAAATTAATACAACTACTTAGTATGAATAATGTTAGAGAGCTGTCATATTTAGGAAAATATTTATATTTAGCATTTAAGGGGCGTTAGTTTAAGGTTTATGTATTGTGGTGTTTCATAACTGTAATGTGTTAATTAAGTATTGTTATATGCACATTATTGAACGGTGTTTTATGTATACTGTGATGTCACTCTCCTGTCTATTCTAATTATGTTTAGAGAATGCTATATGCATATATGTATGTACCAATAAGCCTAAGGGCTTTTGGCTAATAAAGAACTAGGGGTTTGCTACACATGTCGGAAAACACTTAATTTACACTGATATGGGTCACAGCATAGGTAAACCGAAACGTAATTTTGAACAAACAAGAAGTTGTAAGTGCTGATTAGTTATATATGTATCAGGTGGGATCTGGACCGAAATTCCGGATTGCCTCTATTTATAGATTTATGATAATATTTATTCTATAATAAAAAATAACTGTCTAAATGAAACAATTAAAATTTCAATATATATATTGTAAAGGTCGGCGTATTAATAATAATTTCCTGCATGTTCTTTTTTAGTGCTTTTGTGTGTGTGTGTGTGTGTGTGTGAGGGGTGAGTGTGTGTGTGTGTGTGTCCATTTTTTTTAAAAAAAAAATCATGTTCTTCTAATGTTATAATTATACAATCAAAAGAATGTAGGAAATGTGTATCCATTTTTTAGTTTAGTTTTTGGTGATGTTCTTTTAATGTGGTATTGATTTGTTTTCCCCAATGAATAAAGTATATTTGATTGTGATTATACAAATCTGTATTTGATTGTGATTATAACAATCTGTATTTTATTGTGATTATAACAATCTATATTTTATTGTGATTATACACATCTATATTTTATTGTGATTATACCAACGCTTAAATGTATATATTTTATTGTGATTTACACCAATGTTTAAAATATACATTTTTTTTCTTATAATTATACATGTCATCAATGATCTTCACGGAAATGTGTGTGCATTTTATTTACTGTGATTTTGTCAAATAAATGTTTTGATTTGAAAATTATTGTTTTTATTATTCTTCAATAGTTTGCTTATACAATTCAGAAATGTGCAACATGTCTATAGAAGCCCCACCCCTTTAAATAGCATTCACAGTCATAGTGATGCATTAATATCGGCAAATAAAGCCAAATTGCTTACCTTTCTTAAACAACTGATGGTGTTGTTTCCCCAAATTGAGACACTATCATTTTGAAAGGTATGCACAAATATAGGCATGTTGCTTTCGGATTTCTGTATTAAATGAATGACTGTAACTCATGTACACTTTAATTTGTTAATAAGGTATTATTTTTAGAATTGCCCTTCTTGAATTTTTTGCCAAGACTGGGTGAAGATACTGAGGTCGCAAAGGCAGAGTGGGAAGATGCCTTTCTAAACGAAATGGGGTACCTCTACCTTCCATGCTCGTCTAGAAAGTGAGGTACTATCACTATGTACGTTAGTTGTAAACTGATGTTTGGGAATCACCGGAACACTTGATGGAATCACCGGAATCCTAATGGAATCACCCGAACACTAATGGAATCACCGGAACGCTAATAGAATCACCGGAACGCTAATGGAATCACCGGAACACTAATGAAATCACTCGAACATTAATATGTTATATTATTATACTTCAGCACCGTCGTGCTACGGTTATTGAGATTTGGGTGTTTTAACAAAATACTTTTACCCTAAAAGGGTATCATAATTTTTGGAGTCACTCGACCCTACAGCATCTATGTAATATTTGTGAATTTCAATGAGTATCGCTTATCAGATACTTTCATCTTAATGGAAAAACTATAGCGAATGATGTTTGGACGTATAAAAAGAAAGATATCTTTGGGGGTCTACCTCGTCAGTCATCCATCTGTAAGGATGCATGTGTGAGCGTGTCACCATTACCTTGTACTGAAGAATATACTTGGGAGGAATTTACTCTGTCCACTGGGTCTGTAATTTTAAATCGGTTATCTGTCAATTAATTGGTCTATTTCTGAGTAGGCAATAGTAATTGATGTATTGTCTTTTTCCACCAACTGGACCATTATAATATATGACTGGTCCATTTACATCTTGGAATAATTAGGAACCAACCTATAATATAGCTACTGGACCTTGCCTGTCATTTACTTCATCAGCCAAGGCTGGACTGGCTAGTATTTGGTTTTTAATATAGTCACAGACTAGACCTTACCTTGTCTGGTCTTACATAAACACTGACATGGACTCTTTCAATGGACCCCGGACTCCTAAATGAACCCTTGACCTTGCCTGTCATATTGACTGAACATTTTACCGACTGGACCAACCTAACTACTGGAGCTGTTTGATCTATTGATTGAACACTGGATTGACTGGACCTTGCCTGTCATATTGACTGAACGCTGGACTGACTGACCAACCTAGCTACTGGACCTGGACTGGATCTCACATGGACTGACTGGACCTTCCCTTGCTTTAACATAAGCCTGGACCTTCCCTTACTTTAACACTAACCTGGACCCTGGACCTTGACCTTGGATCATTTAGCCTGGACCTTTTAATACCTGGACTGGATCTCACATGGACTGACTGGACCTTCCCTTGCTTTAACATAAGCCTGGACCTTCCTTTACTTTAACACTAACCTGGACCCTGGACCTTGACCTTGGATCATTTAGCCTGGACCTTTTAATACCTGGACTGTATCTCACATGGACTGACTGGACCTTCCCTTGCTTTAACATTAGCCTGGACCTTCCCTTACTTCAACACTAACCTGGACCCTGGACCCTGGACCTGGACATTGGATCATTTAGTCTGGACCTTTTAATACATGTAAAATACATCTACTACCATCTATTCAATAACCTATAATACAATCATCAATCTCAGTAGCTCATGTTTAGCTTTTATGTTGAACGTTCGCTCAGGTGAGAAACGCAACGGCATCTGTGTACATGCCGGGACATACCAAAGTCATTAAAAGGGTAGTTGTTATCCCCTGCTAAATTGTCGACGAATAGGAAAATGCCAAAAGCTGGTTCACCCGTTGTCAGTATAATGTGACCGATGGAATGCTATTATGGGTGCCTTCAGCATTGTATTTCAGTGAGTGAAAAAGCACTATAAAGCTGGCATCAGATCCGCGCTATCACAAGGAGGCAATTACACCAACATACCTTGCCTCCAGCACGCATACACACATGCGCACATACACAGCACACTTTGATGCACGTCCTTAAATAACCTAAGCTGACAATTGGACGTTATACAAAATAAAAACAAACCAAATTAAATCATAGAAACAGTGCTAAAGTCATAGAATGATTTGACGTCATACGATATTTGGTCCCAGACGAATATAACAGTTTAACAGAAAATATCCGAAAAAAATCCGATTGGGAAACATTCCGCCTGTAAAAAAAATTGTTGCTATTTTTTACAATAACATTTTGGTTGGTAGATTTATCTTAGTGTTGTATAACGAAAATGTTGTTTTTTGTGAATAATATTTGGTATGGCGGTATTATTTTGACAGGAGCTTTCGGTTACAATTTCCGATAGAATAAAAATTACACCGACACATTATAGGTTAAAATCATTTTTTATTATTTCATAATTTCATTTTGATGGTCAAACCCTCTCTCCTGCGTGTGTTTAAGAGCACGCGCGAAGGAATCCACCCTCGTAAAGGCGGGAAGACCATCTGTTGAGCTTGCGTCATCGGGTATGTTATTGAGATATTTGCTCCACCGGAACTTCTGCGCATTCCGGAAACAGTACCGTACATTAAGATTCTCCTTCCGGTACGTGTAGTACAGAATGTAGAAATTGCACATCTCGTCCTTGTTGGAAGGGCTAGGGAATACATGGGAATATAGTACACAACTTTTATGAAGGTTATCTTGATTGCGGGGTTTCATATTTGATAAAAGGAAGCATTCAGAACGCACAATTTAATAAAAGTTTATACTATGAAATCGTATTTGAACATATTGCAGTAGGTTCCGAAAATAGCGATCGCCGAAGCGGGGCAGCTTATTGAAAATCACAGCATGCTTGTGATCATGGACATGTTTTCGGTATACTATTATCATTACGAAGGTGGGTGCAAAACAATTAGTGTATTAGTAGATCACCCTTCGTTACGAACTTATAATATTCCAGAAATGAAGCTTAAAATCACATTAAAATATATCGAATCAGTGCGGTTCTTCTCACGGCCCGAGGTCGACAATCTCACAGATTATGTCAATAATTAACTCACAGATCACCTTTGACACATGGTTTATGTATTTTTATTTTTGAGTAATGTACATAAAATTAATTAAACGTCCCTTCCCCTGTAGTGTCGTATGCGAATCTTATTAATTATTTTAGGAAATTTACAATTCTTGTAACATTGCACAAAACACATTCTGAAAAAATAAAAATACAGAAATTTTGAGTACACTATAGAAAAAAAGTCAAAAGTAACCTTTAGTATGCGAGCCTAGCGCAACATTTGTACCTACCCTATCGCAGTGGCTCCGATCCTGTCGCTGCTCATTGTACACCGAGAAGCCTGTATGATGGAGAATGGTGAATAAGTTCGTTAATTACTTTTCAAGGAAAAGCAGAATCAAAAGTGTGTTCATTTAGCATATGTTTTAAACATGAAGAGCGAACAATATTGAATTTTGATAATTATGTCTTGTTAGCGACAAAAAAGGACCAGAAGCAAGCGACTTATTCCAAAGGTCAATTCGTTATGCATTTGGTGCCAGAACATAACTTAAAGCTTAACGGAGAGCAAATTTAATGAAAGATCTGTCCACAACTTGTTTTATCTGAAATGACCAAAAAACCGTTAGACTTTATAAGTTGCCTAAAAAAATATGATAAAAGGAAAGCAATGACAGACACTTAGCTAGCCCTTGTTCTGAATTAATTCAATTGAAGCAGCTCCGTGGTAGGGTCTTGGTAGTGGAACCAGGGGAGCAACCAGCATTCTTTTTGTTTTATTTTGCTTTTCTGATTCAAAATTTGGTAGATTTACATGCATACCAGCGTACAGGCAGCTGCGTACCTGATTGAAGCCTAAATCCAAAGGTTTGATACGTACCAGGATATCTCCAAATCGCACATCTATACCAGGGTTTGTGACATTGTAGAAAGTCTACAAAAGATCAACGTCATTAAGTAGAAAAAGGAGAGATGCAACAATCCATTGAACAATACTTAAATTACATAACATGTTTACAATATGAATGAGACAAACAGAAATTGCCCTCAAAGTTCTTTGAACGTAAATACATGTATTGGCACATGATTCGGGGATAACGCCATTTAAAATAGTTGTCAATGTAACGCTTAGCAGTTTGCTTTAAATAACACTGTGAACAGCTATGGATCAATCATTCAAATGACTCAGATTGTTAGATTGGTGATACGACCATAAAACACAATAAAATTGAGAGAATTTTTTCAAAGAATTTACTGACAACATTTTTATTTTTTATGAGTTTTTCATAATAATAACGGTATGCCAATCAAAACAACTACCGCTCAGCTGATACAAAATACTTTTTTTAATTCGTTTGACAATGAAAATGTCAGTAATACCTGCGGAAGTTGTGGTGACATGCGTCCAATCTCGGTCCACACTCCATCGCGTATACGGTATCCGGATGTTACAACACCTAAAGCATCAAACGTCATCAGCAAATTCGCGATCCAAACGGTTGGACCGGTTGGACCGGTTAAACCTGGATTGTTCGTTTATGAAATAAGGTAGGACCCAGTAATTTGATGCTGATTTTTCGTCGAGCCTTAACAAAGCCTTGCAAGGCTTTTGTAGGTCCGCCAGGATTTATACCCGAAAATGTTACATTTCAAAACAGAGAAATCGGTTGTTCCGCATAAACAAACAGGCCCCTGGCAATCGGAAACCGTCGGCACTTTCCGGTACTACTATTTTCTCGTTTACGGAAAGTGCCGACGGTTCCAGATTGTACTCTAGTATGTGCAGTTCACAAAGACAGCGTATACATTGTAGTAATATAATATAACCAAAATTTAACAACCTAAACTTGTCCACACTGTTGGAATTACTTCTTTGCCCCATATGACCAATATATATATATATAGTTAAAGAGCTAAGTATGCCATTGTCATGTATAGCGGCGATGGTCTAAAATCAACTTCTTTTATTTTTACGTCAAAAGATCATTTTAGCTATCACTACATTTTTTATAAATATACCGTACATGAACTTATAAAACTGTTATGAATAATTTTAATCCTTGTTAATATGTTACAGTGTGTATTTGGCCACCAAAAAAATCCAAATGAAACTTACCAAGATTGTGAGAATGTGTCCGGTAGCCGATAGGGTATATTGTGTCGTTATACTTATAGTCACAGGCGGACTCCATATGGAAACCTACACATTAATGATTAATATAATACACACAGATACGCTGACTTATTCTTACAAAAAACATGGAATTTGTACAGAATCTACAATCCTTTGACAGTCAGCTCATAATTTATAGATACATGATTTAAAACTGTAACTGCATAATGTAAACAGGGCGACTCCATATTGAAACCGTCAAATTATGATAAATTATTATATAAGCTATGTTAACATTTGTAAGGGGGTATGGGTATTACATCCTCGATACTCCAGGGGTTACGCTCACTTACGCTCTTTGCACCCCTTGAGTATGTCATAGCAAAATTGAAGGCTCAGTGAGCGATACTTTGTGGATGAGACAAGAAAACTAGTTTGATTCTTTGATGTACATCAAAAGAATATGTCGGTCGCGTAACGGTAAAATTGACTAGCTTTGAAGTCGGGTGTCGCTCCTCCGTAATCTTCAAAGAACAGGTATCAGCCAAGCGATTGGTCAGGTTTTTTTTAACTGACACCAATCAAATAGCAGACGGCATGCCTCCGAATTTGCTTTGACATATTCTAGAGGTGCAGAGAGCGAAAGTGAGCGTAACCCCTGGAGTATCGAGGATATGGGTTGCGGTAATGACAGGTCCGTTTCTGGGTTTTGGTTGGAGGTATACATTATATATACCTGTGTTCATATCAATTAACGTGACCTACCTTGAACCGTCGGAGGTATGTTTCCCATATTGCCCATCACATAGTAACCAGCTTGCTTCGGTTGCCTGAAAACATATCATATTCAGAAAAAAATCATATGCGACTAATTAAATTCTATTAATACTAAACAAACCTGAAAACACAATGACACGTCTTCGTGTAAAATGCATGATATAACTATAGCTTTACCGTCCATACACGACTACACCTCCAAACCTCAAGGTCACAAGGTCATGTAGACTGTCACTTCTAAGATGTCTCTTAATCCTCTAGATATTATATTAACGGGATAATGTGGAACGTCACTTTTGTAATCCTCTCGATACTATACTTACGGGGTGAAGGTCATATGGAGTGTCTCTCGATACTATACTTACGGGGTGAAGGTCATATGGAGTGTCTCTCGATACTATACTTACGGGGTGAAGGTCATATGGAGTGTCTCTCGATACTATACTTACGGGGTGAAGGTCATATGGAGTGTCTCTCGATACTATACTTACGGGGTGAAGGTCATATGGAGTGTCTCTCGATACTATACTTACGGGGTGAAGGTCATATGGAGTGTCTCTCGATACTATACTTACGGGGTGAAGGTCATATGGAGTGTCTCTCGATACTATACTTACGGGGTGAAGGTCATATGGAGTGTCTCTCGATACTATACTTACGGGGTGAAGGTCATATGGAGTGTCTCTCGATACTATACTTACGGGGTGAAGGTCATATGGAGTGTCTCTCGATACTATACTTACGGGGTGAAGGTCATATGGAGTGTCTCTCGATACTATACTTACGGGGTGAAGGTCATATGGAGTGTCTCTCGATACTATACTTACGGGGTGAAGGTCATATGGAGTGTCTCTCGATACTATACTTACGGGGTGAAGGTCATATGGAGTGTCTCTCGATACTATACTTACGGGGTGAAGGTCATATGGAGTGTCTCTCGATACTATACTTACGGGGTGAAGGTCATATGGAGTGTCTCTCGATACTATACTTACGGGGTGAAGGTCATATGGAGTGTCTCTCGATACTATACTTACGGGGTGAAGGTCATATGGAGTGTCTCTCGATACTATACTTACGGGGTGAAGGTCATATGGAGTGTCTCTCGATACTATACTTACGGGGTGAAGGTCATATGGAGTGTCTCTCGATACTATACTTACGGGGTGAAGGTCATATGGAGTGTCTCTCGATACTATACTTACGGGGTGAAGGTCATATGGAGTGTCTCTCGATACTATACTTACGGGGTGAAGGTCATATGGAGTGTCTCTCGATACTATACTTACGGGGTGAAGGTCATATGGAGTGTCTCTCGATACTATACTTACGGGGTGAAGGTCATATGGAGTGTCTCTCGATACTATACTTACGGGGTGAAGGTCATATGGAGTGTCTCTCGATACTATACTTACGGGGTGAAGGTCATATGGAGTGTCTCTCGATACTATACTTACGGGGTGAAGGTCATATGGAGTGTCTCTCGATACTATACTTACGGGGTGAAGGTCATATGGAGTGTCTCTCGATACTATACTTACGGGGTGAAGGTCATATGGAGTGTCTCTCGATACTATACTTACGGGGTGAAGGTCATATGGAGTGTCTCACGATACTATACTTACGGGGTGAAGGTCATATGGAGTGTCTCTCGATACTATACTTACGGGGTGAATGTCATATGGAGTGTCTCTCGATGCTATACTTACGGGGTGAAGGTCATATGGAGTGTCACGCCGGAGTTGTCTCTGAAGTCTCCTAAAGCAAGTCACAAAATATGTTAATCGTTTAATCAAGTTTCTTCTTCAAATATTTTCTTTATTTTTAAACTACGGTGTTTGAAAGAGTTATATAATTTTCGGATTAAATCGAGAAATTGTATAACAACATTTGTAGTAAGAAGCCTAGGTGGCAGTCAACGAAAAATGAAATTTCTATATAAATACGGTACAGCCAGAAATGGTGCCCTGTTAAGTCTTTTAGCGAAATTCGTAATAGTACGAAATAAAGTTTGAAAGCCTAGATCTAACGTTTCCCGTTTTATTTGCATACTGATGTCACTTCCGTTTTCTAATGCTATTTTTTATCTATTAACACATGATTTCTTTCCCATCAATCTCCCTTATATTACATGTAGTTCTAATCTTCTTCATTACGCTGATATTCTGTTGGATGTTTAAAGTGTTTTTTTACTATACATCTTCAGAACGACACTGAGCTCTGACCTTCGAACTTTTCCTTGTAATGGAGCTGTATGACGACATATTTGGTCCGTGTAGTACCGCCGACACGGAAACCGACACCTGAAATAGGACATTGAATGTTCATTACAATCCTGTCAAATCAATTTCACATCAGTGCCTATTTGGTTGATGTTCATTTGTTCTGTTATTGAAAATTTAAAAAAAAAAATGTTTCATTCAAGCACATATCTGGATAGTATTGAATCGCCAGACATTTGACTCAACTATTTGGTACTGCATGTACACTAACATAACATTCACTTTTCAATAAATGATATAAATAAAATTAATACAATATCTATTCTACCGTTCGGGAGTTCTCTGGAGTCAGCATCCATTGCCCAGGCGTAAACGATTTCCCGGGCTCCGTCCGAACACACGGAGTCGTCCGAACTATCATCCATCTCTCCACACGGCCTAGGGACATTTGCATTTTATTGAATCATATAAAATAAAAATCGGCAGTATAATTGTGGTTTACTTGGTATAGAAGTAAAATTGAAATAGGCATGACAGAATTATTTCTCTTCTTTTAGCAAGAAGTTTATTTTAAAGAGAATGTTTATTTTTTAGGGGTTACAGGTTTTTATCAAAATTCTAAAAAAAATAGTTTGTTTGTACTTTTTTAATTGCATCTTTTCATGTCCTAGGTACCTACATACCAATTTTTAAGAACATACGTGAAACAGCGGCAAAGATATGCTGCGGAAACTGGGACGGATGGCCCCCGACATCTTTCAAAGTGGGAGTATATTAGATGTAGGAATGTATGTCACAGCTACCAACAAATTAAACGACAACGGCACGAGTGTGTCATCGGGTATCATGAGATGATGACGATCGTAAAGTTCAGTGTTCTAGCGGTTCCTTTTTTAGATTTGTCACGTACCTGACCGTATACTTACCAATCGGGAACCGTCGGCACTTTCCGTAAACGTATTTTCTCGTTTACGGAAAGTGCCGACGGTTCCCGATCGTATACTTACCAGTAGGGTTCGTCACTTCCTGGTTTACCACACCCATACACCATCATGTGATGTGCCACCGCCTTCGTAGCATGCGGCTCGTATTTCACTATTGGCGATATATAAATGAAAAATAAATACTAAATGAATTTTCAGGTATTGAAGTGCTTTCAGTTGGCATTTATAGTTAAAACAGTTTCATTTGGAAACTTATAAATCCAACATGATCCATTGTGTTAGTGGCGCATCATGAAATTTACCGCTTCAAATTGACATTCATATGTACAATGAATAGCAGTCTTATGCATACATTTCCCGAAGGAAAAAAACCTTGCAAATAATCGTCCAATAAATGTCTTTCCAAATATAATAATATTTTGAAAATTATCAGTATAAGTTATTTAGTTTAAATACAAATGTAACAGTGTATCAAGGTGATAGTAAAGAAGAAATTGCTATGTGAATCGTAGCTCTCATGTCCGATGTTGTTGTTTTTTTTAATGTTATATACCTGACCATACGAAAGTTTGTTTCCTGACCTCGGGTTGTTTAGCAACATGAATATCGTGACTCTACTGTCCGATATCTAAAATTAATAAAAGAAACAAAAAAGAAAAAAAATCATAAGATCGACCTTTTAGGTACGGTTCCTGATAAAGTTCATGTGATGCACAGGGACCTTTGAATTAATTACGTTATGCATATTTGAAAATTGTACTGTGATCGAGCCTCAGGCGCCTATGATGTATAAAAGCATACCACTTACAGATGTAAGCTTCCTGGTCATCGAGTTTAACAGAGTGGCACAAGAGGGCATCAGGCTACAACGATACAGTGTATAACAGAGTTAGTTCCCTTCCATTTTCGTCCCATTTCATACACANATTTCGGAAAAGTAGATAACATCTTAACTTATAATGCATGTTTTTGAGATATGCAGCCTGATTGATAAAGAATATTGGGAAAGAGCTATGGCGGAAAACTGACCATATTTACCTAAGTCGGCATATTTGAAAACGGAAATAAATATTGATGAGTAAATAATCTTTAGTAGCAAAAATGCATTGAGTAAATATAAATCCAATTGAATATGAATTTTCG